TTCCCATCTAGACCAGCTCAACAGAGTTTTCCAGCTCCAGAAAGTGTTTGTACAACACAAGGTCAACAAGGCGTTCTGCATGAGCTGTACAAGTGTTGTTTCCAAGTTTTAAGAGATGTTAAAAATTCAGGAAATTTTCAAGATTTATTGTGTTAAATCCACAGTCTGACACTGTATTTGTGCACTGCCCATCACACTCAATAAAAACTGGTTCCAAAATGAAATTTGGAGGGTAAATAATATATTTTCCTTTCACAGTGTACTTTACTTCTCCCACATCCTTAGCACAAAATAGACAGAAACAATTTTTTTTATGAGTCTTTCCCTACTTGAATAGATCACAATTTTAATTTCCTCAAGTTTCATTGCAAATTATGGTTTCTTCAAATACTCACTTCCCAAGCAACAATGACTTTAAAATTGTTGGGAATGAGAGATAAATTCACCCTTTTTCTTTCTCCAAAAATCTTGTAATAAAGACAGTAGCATGCATATTTGTATATACAACTCACGTTTACAGTATAACCAATTCTATATGGCAGCACAGTCTACATGAAAAACTGACCTTAGCAAATCCCCCTAACTTTTATGACTAATCTAAAATGCACCATTATAGCTCTTTGAGATATTATCTGAACAGCAACAAAGAACAAAATATTCAGAATGTCATCGATAAATATTGTTCAGAATGTCATAGATAAATATTGTTAAGCACAGAAGAAAAAAAAATGTTAGAAGTAGGTGCTGTAAGATGACTTTTTGAGAAATACAGTTTACAACTGAAGTTGCCATGATTGTATCATACCAGATATTGAAAGATGGATTGCCTTCTGTTTTAATGTCCTGGAGCGAGACAGATTTTTATGGTCTGCTTCCCTTTCTGAAACAGGCTTCAAAAATCTTCTTAAAATTGATAATAAAAGCCTTAATGCATTGAGAACAAGAAATACCATGGTTTCAAGTGACATACCCTCATCTACATAACTCATGTTAAAATCTATATGTCTTCCCACAGAGAAGCTATGCATTGAAATAATACTTGGAGTAGACAGCTTCTAGCAAGAGAAATGCAGTCTTGGGAGTAGGAAATGCCCTCTTCTTTTTCACTTCTTATTCTTCTGCATAGCACAACATCTTCTGCCATCTAAAAGCAGTCTTGGAGCAGTCATAGTGATCCACAACAAGAAGAATATTTGTATCAAGTATGCTATACACATGCAATCCTACCATTTCCATCATAATCCAATGGAAATGCATGTAAAACTGAAGAGTTGGTAAGAAATCCACTTTCTGCAGCAATGACAACTATCTTGTTCCTACATGAAAGAAGGATCTGATTCCTGATTACTCCAATAATATATTTTAAAGTAAGAAATTATTTCATAAAAGAGATAATTGTTTATAATTAACAGGAGAATTTTTTCAATTTAAAATCATTTTCCCCAAAGAAGCAAACTAAAGAAAAACATGAAACTGTAAGAAACCAGCCAAATCACCAAGAAACAGAAAACGGAAACTTTTTTTCCCTTTACAGTGAAAACTGCAGAAAAAAAAAAAGTTTAACATGTTTTAATGAAGTTCTTAGTGGATGTTTCTGAACATCTCCCCTTAAACATTCTCCCTCTGCTTGAGGCAACTAGACTCCAGGATCAGGGCATGATTCTCATCATGTGCTGGAATCCAGGAGCTACCCCCACAGGTGAGACCTCCTCCCAAGCAATACTTCTGGTGCCCTGTGGGAGATGCAGTCAGCCACAATGCTGCACCAAGGGAACACAGTGAAGCATTTCTAAATGACAGCTTTAAAGTCTCAAGCCAACATTTCTCACCACTCCCAAATGCAACAGAGAATACAAACAGCCTTACGGACCTGTATACGCAGAAGGGCTATGGCCAGTGACAGGCAAACGACCGTGAAGAAGCACCAGCTGTCCTTTCCTAAATGCAGCTGCTGTGTCCACACCCAGCAGACAAGCACAAGGCTACACTATCCAAAGCTCCCACTCAAAAACCAGCCTCCTATCACATGCCAGACTAGGAAAAAAAAAAAAAACCCAACCAAAATTAGCCATCTTTATTTTGAACTGAAGATATTTCAGCAGGACAGCCCTGTTGGTTGCAAGGCTGTGCTGTCCAGCTCATCCAGGTGTTTTTTGGTAACAGGTATGTGAGCAATGGTACAAGAAGCAGGGACTACAGCCCACACCCCTGGGAAAGATGGCTAGTATGGTTTTCAGACTGCATGGGGCCTCAGGAACAGCATGCTGCTAATGGACCAGGTCTACCGCAGCAGCTAGCACAGCCCAACAGGAACTGACAGGCACAGCAAAACATTTAGGCACAGAAGACACTGTATGTATTTTATAGAGTTTTACTTCAAGCTGGATATGGTCATATGGATTGTATTTCCAGAAACAACTCCAGCACATCTCTTAGTTTAGATTCATCTTAAAGGAATCCAACTGGCCCACCACGGACTATATGGAGATGGACAGTAAGTGGAACAACTGAAGCAGGGGCATCAAAAGCCCACTCCTGCCATGAACCACAACACTATAACTGTACAACCACACCCAACAGCATCTGCGTGCAGAGGGACAGACTTTTTTGAGCTACTTTTTAAGATACTCTTCAGATGTCAGTAAATCTGCACAGTAGCTTGAACCACTCAATTCTTACTCAGTAACTTGGAACTGCTCATTGAAACAATTCTAACTCTAGATCAGAAATTGGTAAACACCACTTTACCAATCCCAAATGGAAATTTACCAGTTTCTGATGATTGGGTCAGAATTATTATGTTATTTTAGCAATAGTGTTAGAAGTAAACCAGTTACCAGATTTATTAAGCAAAACTCAAACAGGATTATTTATTACAAAAGATGATCTGGATCTCTGAGACTTACTCTTTCACAGAGATTGACAAATGGTGACTGAAACCAAGCATTTTCCAATTTATTGATGCCATTCACTGGGTACTTCAGATATTAATTTTTATCCTCACTTGATACTATGAAAAGAAACAAAAGTCTCCACAGTTAAATTCTTCAACTTTTCATACATTTTTTATATTCCCCATTGAAAGTCATGCACAGTCTATTTAAAAGATAAAAAAAGAAAATATATTTCAGCTAAACAAATCAGCTCAAAACCTTGGGTTAGCGGCATTTATTTTTCTGGCACTCTTGTGGAGGTCTTACTGATGCTTTTCACTGACACATCTTTCACTTACTTATCACACTGCAATGGAAGACTGAGTGAAACTCCCTGCTGCTACACGAACCTCCTCCCTGCACACAAGAGCTCTGCCCGAACAGCGGGCTGCAAGAGAGGGGAGGAGGCAAAATCCTACTTGCTTGAGGCTTCTCGCTCATCCTAGAACAGAGATTTTACAAACCATTCCTCTCTTTTCAGCTGCACAGTGATCACAAATCAAGGACTCAGGACTTCAGTTGGATGACAGCAGTTCATGAGGACCATGCAACAAAAGTGAGAGAGAGACAATTTGCCCAGAGTGTGAACACTGTCACAGCACCCTCATGTCCTGGCTCCCAAGGCAGGCACACTGCTGTTCCACACAGTTACTTTCTTGAAGCAATTTTTAAAAATCTTAGCATCTTACTCCTAAATTTTTGCAAGTAATGAAGAAAGACCAGCGTGAGAAGCAGGAACCAAGTTTTGCAAGTGAAGCATCTGCATTAAAATACATCAAGCATTATGAGCAAATACTTCAGGCTGTCCATACTTTTTGAAGTTCAAGAAACAATCTAATCCCCTAAGGAAACACAGCATCTGTATTGTATTGGCACAGGTGGGAACACAAGATTCTGAAGTGATTACTAATTTCACCCTGGTTGAGCAAGAAATAGCCCTGAAGCAGCCTGATAAGCAACTTCCTAATTGGAGCTCTGAGCTGACATTGCTTGGTCTTGCACCTGCTGCTTCATGATTGTTGAGAGGACTGTGGGCTTCCTAACCTGGGGATTTTTCTCAGGGAATCTCTATCATTCAGCTGATAGATTCACCTGACCCTACTCACTGGGATTTCATTGTTTTTGTTTCGCCTCTTTCAGAGAGAGAGAGGGAAAAAAAAAAAAAAAAGAGAGATTTAACTTGTTATGAGCTGTTAATTTTGTCCTCAAAAATCCACCAAAAGTTATATAACCACTTTCACAATAGCATGCTAAAAATAAGAGCTGTTCAACCAAATGCCACTGCAATTTTTTTATAAGACCTGTGCCTCCAATTCTGAAAGACCTGTGGAAACACAAATATTTCCTTAACTTTAGCAAAAAGTCAGTCAGGAGCTCCTTGTGAGACAGACATGAGTTTGTATAATCCTCAAGTTCAAGGTAAAAAAACCCCGAGTATCTGTATACGCACACGTATACTTCCAAGTCATGACTTAAAGTAATGCTATTCGCTCTTGGAGCTGATCCCTCGTGGGGTTTCATAATCACAAACCATCATTAACCCAAAGCAAAGAAAGAAAGGTACAAAGGGGCACAGGTTTCAAGCACGAACTATTTTTTTTTTCTGATTTGTCTTTCTTTTTCCTTTGCGGGGCAGCGTGGGGACGCGACGCACGACGCTCCAAACGCTGGGCAACCTGGCCATCCAGGTGACTTCCCAGGACGCTGGGAGCAAGGCAGCCAGAGCTCGGCGCCGCTCTCGCTGAGTTCGCTCCGTGCCCCTGCCAGCGCCCGCGGGCGGCGAGGGCTCGGACGCGCCGCTCCCCGAGGCGTGCGCGGCCCCGCCGAGCTCCCCGCGCCGCGCCGGGACGGGCCGGGCGGGCGGCAGAGCGGCGCGGGGCTGCGGGACGGGACGGCACTGCGGGCTGTCACCGCACCGCGCCCGCGGGGCCCGCCGCCTGTCCCCAGAGGGGCGGTAGCAGGGCAGGGGAGGAGGAGAAGGAGGAGGAGGAGGAGGAAGGGAGCGAGCCGGCCGCAAGAGGAGCGGTGCCAGGTCAGGGCGCTGGGCGCCCCCCGGCCGCCCCATACCTGCACGGAGGCGGGGAAGGGTCCGCAGCGCGCTCCGTCCGCCGGCTATAGATCCCAAGGGGCGATGAAGCGGGGTGGCGGTCGCCGCCCTCTGCCGCTGCTGCCGGTGGCGGTGGTGCGAAGCCCTCGCCGGCTGCAGATGCCCATAGGCGCTCGGTGGGGCCAGCGGTGCGCGGAGAGAGCGAGGCAGCTGTGCCGGTCCCGACGGCCGCGGGGAGCGCGGCACTGGCTCGGCGCAGCCACTGCCCGAGGAGAGGATCAAGGCCCCGCTTTCGATTGGCTCCGGTGGCCAAACAGCTCACACCGGCCTGCCCGCCCGCACGCCCGCCCGCCGCCTCCCGCCCGCCTCCCCTCCGCCGCCGGCCGCCCCGCTCCTCCCGCCGCCCGCCGGCTTCCCAACCTGGCGGGCACTGCTAGCTCCGCTCGTTCCCCCTCACACCCTCCCGCTCCCCCACTACGCCCCCCCCTTCCCTAAGACGACGTCCAATCCCTTTGTTTATGTAGGGACATTCTCACCCGGGGTCTGACAAAACACCCTCCTTCCCTTCGCATCTTCCTCCGAGAGCTGAAGGACCCGCAACTTTAAGCATTCGTGACATTTTATGTCATGCTCAATATTCAGACACGTTTGTTCTCTGAACATTTAAGAAAAATATCCCTAGCCGGTAAAATTGAAAGCATGCAGTGCTTGATCACCTGAGGGCTAAATCTGAGGTAGGACAAAGCATTCTTTGCCTGAGTTGAGTTTGCTTTTCTTACTCTATTTGGGCTCCTAGCCTCAGCTGGGCTGACTACACGTCAAATCTCAGCATGCACAGAAAATAGAACCAGGATGGCTCCTTGTCCTGAGTCTCAGGTTATTCACTCTCAGCGGCTGTGGTTGTCATTCCTTGGTGCATCTTTGCTGTTGGTATTCCTCTTGCTCAGGATGACTTAAGTGACCTGTGGAAAAGTATTCTCCCTCCTGCAGATGTGCTGTAATCTTACGGCAAATCTTAGACCTGTCTTATGGGCAAAGTGGCGAGCCTTTGGTTTGACCCTCTGTTTAAACAACTTACAGTTGAACCAGATGAATAGGTCCTGTGGGTTTTCTCAGTGCAAGAAGATGTTGTAATACTTCCAGTAAGCATGCTGACAAAATTGCTTATTAAAATTAGGGAGAACAAAATTATGAGTTGTAACAGATGCACTCTTAATTAATTCAATGACCTGCATTTAACTGATGCTGTTGAATTAAGCAGCATCTATGCTGTTGCTACATCAGATGCCACTAAAAGTCAATATTGATCCAAATTTGGCAGATTGAAGCTTTTGAAACAGTGGATGGAGTTGCAGAGATACTTTTGCATGACACCAGAATGTACATTTCTTAATGGTGACCTCCATAACATTTTTAATTGATTCTGTATTTAATTAATTTTTTTCCAACAAAATGGTATGCTATTTTTCATTCCCTATAAAACATGCATACTTTTGTCTCTTTGGGGCATACAGAACTAGTTAAGAATGGTTTTGTTTATATTTTGTACAGGCAAAAGTCAGAAAAATAAAAATAGAAATATTGAGAAATATATAAACCCAGAGATATTTAGAAATATCCATACTTGGAGTATAATCCATCCCCCATTTTAAAAGCTTTATTAGCAGAAACATCCCTCAGTGAATTCAGTAAAGCTACACCTCTGGAACTTTAGTTACCACCCAGGAATAACTAAAAAATCTTGTTTCTTTTTATTAAATGTTTTTCCTTCACATGTTGCTGATTTATTTTTCCCTGGAGAAATGAAATTGCTGGTTTAGAGACCAAGCTACATTTCCAGCCATGGCCCAAGAGACACAGCAGCCTCTGCACTTCTGTCACGCCCCCAGCCCTGACACCTCCATCACAGGCATGTCTCTCCCTGCATGCTCCTGATCCAAGTGACTGGCTGACATACACACATATATATATATATATATACACACAGATGCATACATACATGCACATACAAATATACATATATATATATGTGTACACTGTCTTTCAGTATTTCCTAAGTCTTCACTCTGACTTTTTTCTGGGAAGAATGTAGACTCCATTTTCAAGGCCTCTTCTCAGCCTCCTGTTTTTCTCCCTGAACAGACAGGTATTTGTGTCAGAGGAAGGGTTACGGCCCTCCAGCTGAGCATTGGCTGAAGCAAACATTATAGCAGTCTGTTCCCTTAGGCTTCCTTCTAGCTACTAGTTTGCAATCATATTGTCTTCTAATTTCAATGCAAATTGTATATCCTGCTATGTGTTATTTGGGGGAAAAACCGCTGAACTCATTTGAGAAGTTTTCATGTAATATATTTGCCATACTCCTCCTTATGGACCAAGAACTTTCTTTGGTACAGATGACTTAGGACATAATAAGATTTTGTATTTGCAGAGTTGCTGCTTCCCATTAGCTATTTTCAACATTATGTTTGTTTCCTTCTGTGTTTGGATTCCTTTACAGCACTGATAAGTTTCCCTCTAGTCTTGTTCAATTTAATAGCTTTTAACCTGTCTGTTTTATTTATGTCTGCTTAAGTGCTTATTTAATCTTTTCCCTTATAACTATAATGACCTTCCACAGGTTACTATAATCCTAGAAGGTATGTGGGGAATTTAAAGATTTAAAAGTCGTTTGACTTCATAAATAATTTTTATTTTCTCATTATGGGGTTTATTTTTAAACCAAAAATGTTTCATTTTCTGTTGGATCAATGATTGTTTTTCACACATATTTCTTTCACATATATAGTAGTAAGCAAACTGAGACATTTTGGATTGTAAACAACTTTTTTCTTTTTTTTACAGTTTGGTTAGTGAGAACTGCAAAGGGTCTTGATCTGACAGGGAAAATACACAGCATATTTATTCTTTGGTGTGGTCTAAAACTAGAATTTTATGCCATTAAAAATAATTACTTATCCAGGTTTTTGTTTATATTTTAAAAACTGAAAGAGTTATATTCTGCAGATAGCATTTACCCAGCAATATCACTGTAAAGCACATTTGTATTGATATTGCTGCTTCTTTCCTCCACTGTGAGTGCCTGACTTCTATTATATGCTGTACTTAAACTAACAGACTAACCTTTTAATGTCCCCTGGCAATTACAGAGCCATTAATTCAGCAAGACGTTGAAGCCTATACCTACTTTTAATGTACAGATTTAATGACTATATTCTACTTCTGATGTGGCCACCCTTCAGGAATGACTGTAATCTGTGTCTTTTGTCTCACACTGAGACAAAACACAAACAACTGGTGCCCATCTCCTTCACAGCAAGGTCCGTATCTTTGTCATCGCCACTACAGAAGCTGTTCTGCTTTGCAGCCCTGAACTCAGAGCTTGTCTTGATCTGTGAGCACATATGGCAGGAGTGCCTGCAGAGCACGAAGAGCTGTAGCACAGCCCCAGAGCCAAAGGAGGCTTGAGAAATGGTACTGTCAGATACATACCCCAACCTCATTTCTGCCCCAAGACACAATCCACAGTTACATAAATCAGAAAAGAAGAAACCTGGGAGATCTGGTGGTCCCAGCTGGTGATCATATGAATTATTCCTGTTTGTATATTGACAAATATATTGCACTGAATGAACAACCTGGTGATTTGTGTCAGGTTACACACATATCCTCCTCTCTTGGGCCCTGAGTAAGCGGTCAAGCTCTGCAGACAGGATCTGGCTCAATACCCTCCTGGGAGATTGCTGTCCTGAGACTCCTGACTGTCCAAGGGATGCCATACCTTTCTGACTCAGGTACAGCCCCACAAACTGATCTCACTGCCTTACAAATACCCCTTTTGTTTCTTCATGGTTCCTGCCTCTCAACTAACCTGCATTGCCTTGTTCTAATCCTAGCTCATGTTTATCCGCAACTTTCAGTGCAAGCTCTTTGATTTCTTCACTTTGCTGTTGATTTGCTCTTTGGTTTGAGGTACCCATGATTTCTCAGTTTTCCTGGGTGCATTTCCATTTGGAGCCTTGGGCTGGTCTGTCCTTGGTGACTGACTCCTGGTCTTGAGTTTCTTCCGTTTCAGTGGCTGGACCCACCCCAACTACACTCACTCAGCACAAGTATTCCACTTGTGGCTCCTTAATAACTTCCGTTCAAAGCGACCTTTCTGAATGGGAATTACAAAACATGATATCCCACTGTTGACGCGGAACATTTGGCACACAGCTTATCTGCACGATAACTCAGCCGCCGGTGGGATAGGTCGTGTGGGCAATGTCGGGTTGTGGCTTAGGAGAAGATGCAAGAATGCGGGAGAATGTGGCGTCCCTGCAAGATAAATCACACTTGTCAAGATCTTCAACGGCTCGTACTGTTTTCACAGACAATTAGGCACCTAAATGCCTTTGGACATAGTGCACCTGTTTTTTAGTTTGGAGTTCTTTCTAACATTGTGGATTTAAGCCAGGAAAGCACTCTAAGCAGCAGTAATTTTGATCCTGTTTTTTTCAGTACTTTATCTTTGCTATGTTGAAAACAACTCGAAAATATGTCTCTACCTAGACAGGGCAACATCCCATCCCAGAACATGAGCAAATACTTCATACAACCCCCGATAAAGAACTTCATTAACATGGTTAAATGTATTCCTGGCAAAAGTGCCATCTCTGTATTTCACAGTCATCACGAATGAAACATTCTTAGTATTGCCTTGTTCTGACTTCAAATATAAATTACTCTGTGCACACCTTATACACCTTAGAAGGAAAAAAAAAGTGTTATTACATTTCTTTAGCTTCTTTCACTTCATTCCCATCAAAATTTCATTTAAAGTCTCTAGATGCCCTGAGCCCATCTATGTGCTCCAGGCACTCAGGCTTTCAGGTAGTTGAAAGTTGTTTCTGTTTTGTTTGCTCTTTGGGAGGAAATAATGGCTCCTCACACATCTACCTTTGAAAAGTCTCCAGAAGGCTCACAAATTCACTTTACCAGATTAAATAAGATTAGTCTACACAGGGCCTGAAGAAAATTTCTCCTTGATTGAAATTTTTTTTCTTCCCTGGGGATGATTCCAGCTTAGGCCGATGAAGTGCCTCTCAACACTATCTTTAAAGCTATGGTTCATAAAGTCATGAACACTACAAAACCTTTCAATTCTCCTAAATAACTTGAGGAACCTGACCTACACAGAATC